CCTCCCCTAAATTATGCTGATTCTCTGGGAAACAAGAAGGAAGGAAAAATATGAGTAAATGGATTCTCTTCTTCCCTGCTTTTGATTGGCCTTTTGATTTTGTTTGTGTGCATATGCTACACAGCGAATATATAGTGCTGGCTACTCTTCATTTTACCTTTTATTAACAGGGGTTTAGGAAGACTTTTTTCCAGGGATTTGATGCTTTCTGTGCTTCGCAGATGAGGATTTGCCTGTTTGTGCTAATCCAACCAAATCATCTCCAGCGATACCTTGGGAATATCGTTAGAGCTCTCTGGCGGCTGGTGATCTGTTAATTAGCGTTGCCATTCCTGAGGCTCCGTCATCGGGCCCATCAGATGTAACCAGTTACATCATCTCAGGGACCGCAGACCTTCTGTGTTTCTTGTGTGATCGGGCCCGTGGGCTTTGAAAATGAAGGTTAACACGGCATTTATCTAGCAAGATGTTCTTAATCTGAGACTGTTGACTCCATAAAGACTCAAAAATTATTTCAAACTTGTCTTTTTTTTTTTCTGGATTGTAACATTTGCTGTATTTTCAAAAGCAGTTGCTGATCCAAAATGGTTTAGAGCCATTGACCAGAGGACTGCAGGGCCTTCCACGGAACAGGGGAGGAGACCAGGCCCCGGGGGGCAGGGTCTTACCCAGGCAACAGGGTTTGCTGACGGTTTCTGGGCTCGCGCCTGCGGGACCTGCGTCTGCTTTTCTCCATCATGCGATGTGCTGTGACAAGAATCACATCCCCTGTTTCGGGAACAGGTAACCAAGGAAGCACATGCATCAGATAAGGTCACCTGGTGATTCAGTGCGAAAGGTGAGCCTGGGACTTGTCCCCCGGTTCCGTGTGGGCCGCGCTCTCAAACGCAGCACCGCGGCGCCTTTGCTACCTGCAAAGTGAGGAGGATGACAGCTGCCGCTGTAGCGGGCTCCTTCTCTGTGTGGATTCTTAGATGCTCGATTCTATTTTAATAAATTTAATTTTTTTTTGATATGCCCAGCTTCTTTTCTAATGGCAAAAGGTCTTTTCTTTCTACCTTTCCGAAAGAATTATAACCCTGTGTTCTGGGCTTGATGTTGGTAAATATTTTCTCCTTTCAGCTGCTTCACACTTAGAAATAGTAGATCTGGTGGGTTAAGAAATGCTGCTTTTAAGAAACGCTCTCAGGTTTGTCTACAAGCGAGAATGATGGTAGATACCAGGTTTCCCATGAGCCTTCCTGCCCTCTGGTGTCATGCAACGGGAGCTCACCAGACCCTCTCCGCAACCTTCTCGCCGCGGTGACTGCTTCTGCTACCCTTTCTGGCAAGCAGACGAGCAGGTCAACCCCTTCTCCCACCCCCGACTCTATCCCCAGTCACCCGTGGGGCCTGGTTAAGAGTGTGGCTTCTGGAGACCAAGGACCTGAGTCGACTCCTGAATCCACCATAGGCTGGCTGTGTGACCTGGGATGAGTTACTCCACCTCTCTGTTCTTCATTTTCTTCATGTGTTAAAGGGCATTAATCTCTACTTTATGGTCTTTGTAAGGATTGACAATTAATTGATAAGTTCCTGATGTCAGCTATTAGCCAGTATCACTGTTGTTTTCGATTCCTGAGTTTGACATGAACTGCTTCCGCCCTTCCTCCTCCTCTTTGCCAAACTCTACTTCAAAAGTGCCCGAACCCTTCCTATTTCAAGAAATCTCACAGCGTTCTTGTCACTCTGGCATACCCACACACCCCACGACGTGCTTGGCAGTTGCCTCCACTAACTGGTCATCCTTTGCCCACGCACTGGCATTTTGCTTGTTGGATGCGATGGTCTAACTAACCTTACCAGGAGAAGCAAGAAGATGCGTTGCTCCTGATACATCAATACATCGTGCCCTGTAATGATTTATTTGGACTAATCTTCCTTGTTGCAGACTCATTAGTGGTTGTCACCAAATGGTGGCTTATTTAACTTTCACAAGTACGTAAGGCATTCACAGCCCCGTTTCCCACTGGGAAAGGCACCGACGTCAGTTTTCACTGGCTGGGACCTGAGGTCAGGCGTGCATTTTTACTTTGGTTAATAACTCTTTATTCTTCTTGATGTTCCTGTTAAACACAAGCCTGGTGCTAGAATTTGCTTGTGGTGCCTCCCAGCTCTGTCCCTCTGTGCGTCGGCGGCAGGAGATTCGGAGTAGGATCCTTTTGTGAGACTGGAGAAAATAAGCACAACCCTCAGTGATTGTTAGTGTGCGCATTTCCGCCCCATAGGTTTAAAGGAATTTGTGTCTTCCCTGTCTGTCCTCTCTTAAATTATTAAATCCTCAAGGGAAAAGGTTTTTTTTTTTGGCCTTTTTGGCTTCCCCTTGGGGGGCTTTTGGGCCGGGCTTTTGGGTTCGGCCGGGGGCGGGGGCCTTCGTTTTTTTTTCTTGCTTGTTGGGGGAAGGTTGGTTGCCTTCGGCGGGGCCCCGGTTTGTTTGTTGGCGGGCTTTGGGACTTGTTTGTTTCTTTCTTTTTTGTTTGTTTGCTTTCCCTGGTGTTTGTTTTCAGTTTGTTTCCTAGCTTGTGTCTGCTGCGTTGTTTGTCTATTTTTTGTTTACTTGGCATGCATACACCCCTTCCTTGTGTGTGTGTACAGATACTTACATGCGTGCATACATGCAGGCCGGTCTATTTGCTCGGTCAGGCAGGATGGTTGGTGGTAGGTGTCCTTTGTATGTATCTGCGTGTGTGTGTGTGTGCGCACACACACACGGTGTGGATAACACACTGAGTATTGAGCTTCACCTCGTGTAGATACTTTCTGGTAGGAGTTGCTATCTAATTGAGATTGTTGCATTCAGCAGAGGCCGGTTTTGTGCGTCGGGGCTACTGACCATTAGAGCTGGCATCCTCGCGTTGGGGAGGGTCAGCTAAAGGCCCCCTTTTTCCTAATGGCACTGAGATTCAGTTGGGAGCTGGGGTGGAGTGAGTCTACTGTCCTTTGGCATTTTCTTGCCCTTGAAGCCATACTTGCATGATTTGAGTAAACAAATATAAAATGATTTTCAAAAGAAGGGTTTTTTTTTTTATTGTCCTGTTTTTGAAATCTAAAACGGTATTCCACTTAGGCAGTTCACCTGAAAGGGAATCAAAGATTCAATCGAGTTTCTACAGTGAGATTCTGGTCTTTAAGTGGAGCACCCATGAAGGCAAGATAAGCTCCCCTTGCCTTGTTTCACAGCAAGGAGTGAGGGGCGGCTGGACCAGAGTTGTAAGGTCAGGGAAGCAAGGGGGTCAGTCCTGCAGGTGGCCCCTCGTTTCTTAATTTGGCTTCAGGAAAATTTTTCTCCAACTTTTCAGCTTAGAGATGAGAGTTTTTTTACGTGTAGAAATTTTGTAAATGGGGAAGGGAAGTAGAAATACCATGGAGAGTTTCCCCTCGTTCTTCTCCCTGTTAACTTTAGGGATGTCCCCCAGCAGACCAGAGTGTCCAGTGCCTCCTGTTCCCCACAGTCAGGGAGCCACGTAATTTATCATCCAAACAAGACACTTTTGAGAGTACAAGGGGACACTAATAGTTCCCCTGGGATGGCAAGCCAAAACGGGGTGTATGGTTGCCTTCCTCATAGTGGAGTTCCCAAAGATGTGTTCTGGTCACCTGTCTGTGCCGTGTTAAAAGAACAACTTTAGAGAAAATACATTCAACAGAGTTTACTTGAGTCCGAAGGGTTTCATGAATCGGGCAGCACTCAAAACCAGACGTTCAGAGAGCTCTTACCCAAAATGTGGGTAGTGAGTTTTTGTAGCCTAAACAGGAAATAAAACACAGAAATAGCTTGATCGGTTACAGCCAGGAGTTGGCCTTATTTGCGCATAGTCTGATCAGTTGGCTGACGATGATTGGCTGAAGCTTGGCTGCTTGTAATTGGCTGAGACTTGGCTATCTGTTCCCCCCAAAATATACACCTAGTTAGGCTTTGGTTTGTTTATGCACTAAGTTAGGTTGCAGGTTGATACGTAGGAACTCAAAGTCCAGATAGCCTCAGGCCAGTAGCCTCCTGCCTATTTAATTTAACAGACATCTGAGTTCTGCTTAGCAGGTTCTTATTTTCTCTTGTGATAGACCCTTCTTTTTATTTGTGCCATCATGTGCGTAAGATTTACTCAAGACCTACCTCCTCCAGGAAGCCTCCCCAGATCTGTGCCATGCTGTGAACTCTGAGGTCTGGATTCTGTACCTCACTGTTGTGCTCCTGTATTTCAGATCCTTGCAGTTTGCCTTCGTTAGGAATATACAAATAACCATGGGACGATAGGTATTTAGGACAACGTGGCCCTAAGAAACAACATCCTTCAAATATAAACTAAAAAGATGAGATTCGACACCTACAGTGGAGTCCCCAGGTCTCCCAGGGGAGGGAATCTGATGGGCTGAGCCTGGCATTGAAATTGGCTCCTGGGAATTGGTGTGACCAGGAGAGTAGGGTCACACGGTATGTAATTCTGCGGGGCAGTGGGAGCGAGGGAACACAACAGTAACGGTACATTCAGCACTTAGTATCTTCTGAGCACTTTCTGCATTCCCTCATTTAATCCTCATAAAACCCCTGTGAAATAGGTATGTTGTTATTCCCTTTTTTTGAATCGGGGAACTGTAGCACAGAGAGGGGAAGCTAGTTGTTTAGCACCACACAGCTGACCGGTGGCTGAGTCGGGAAGTACACTGGGCGGCGTGGGTCTGGAATCTGCACGCCGAGTCACTACTCAGCATGGCTTATCTCAAACAGGCATTGCTAGGATACTACACTTTCATCTTTTTCATCCTTTTTAGTCAATGTCTGTTCAGTGAATGTGTGCCGAATGAATGGACACGTGAGTGAATGAATGAATGGACACGTAGAAAACTACGTGGTCTACAGGAAGTTCGGGGGTGGAAGCTTCTTCCTGCTGCTGCTTGCCCGAGCGCCAACATGCACGTGCTCAAATCGCTCTCTCTCTCTCCACCCCGCTCTTTTTGCTCAGACAAGAGTGAGAACGGTGAGGCGTATCAGAGGAAGAAGGTGGCAGCCGCCGGCCTTCCGGAGAGCCCCGCCCCGCCCGTGCCTTCTCGAGGGAACCCCGCGCAGCCCGGCGGCGGCAGCTGGAGAAGGATTGCGCTGCTCATCTTGGCCATCACCATACACAACGTTCCAGGTGAGGTCTTGCCCTCGATGGCGCCAGCCACCGCCTGCAGGTGAAGTCACTTGTCAGTGCGCTTGTCCGCCTGGAGAGGGGGATGGGCAGTAGTGATTCCGGTCCTTTTTGGAGAGGCGTGAAGGTAGGAGTATGAATCTTCTCTACTTTACTTTTGGGGTTGCTCATTGTAGGTTGATCATGGTGTGTTAAAACTTACCATTCCAGTTAAACAACTTCTCCTGTTTCTGCCTAGAAGTTCCCTTCTTTACGTATTTGACACCAAGTTGCTTGGATAAATTTGTAACTGTTGCATGATTGCTGTGGAGGGTGCCTTTTAGAAATACAGGGTATCTCTGGTTCTGCTTAATGCTGTTGGAAAATACAGTCGACTCTTGAGCGACACGAGTTCGAACTGCGCTGATCCACTTACCCCCGGATTTTCTTCCACTTCTGCCACCCCTGAGATAGCAAGACCAACCCTTCCTCTCCCTCCTCGCCCTCCTCCTCCTCGCCTTCCTCCTCCTCAGCCTAGTCAATGTGAAGACAGCGAGGAAGAAGACCTTTATGATGATCCACTCCCACTTCATGGATAGTAAATATATTTTCTCTTTCTTGTGATTTTCTTAGTAACATTTTCTTTTCTCTAGCTTACTTTATTGTAAGAATACAGTGTGCAATACATATAACACAAAATATTATGTTACCGGTAAGACTTCTGGTCAACAGTAGGCTATTAGTAAAGTTTTGGGAAGTCAAAAAATATGCATGGATCTTTGACAGCTCAGGAGGTCGGCGTTCCTAACCCCCTCGTTGTTCAAGGGTCAGCTGTATTGAATTCAGCATATTTTGGCACTGATGTTGCCGTACCTGCTTGCTTTCTAAAATGTCCTACTTATCCTTTCCTCGTTAGCATTTTGGAGTAATTTGTCTTATGTCTTTGGATTTATTTCAACTGGAAAAAAAGACCTATTGATGTTTTATTTCAAACACGATACGTTTCTTTTAGAGAAATTAGAAGACATGGATAAGCATAAAAAATAATAAACGTATAAAAATAAATAAATTGAAGGAACCTGAGCTCTTTGGGATACATTTTGAAATTCCGACTCTGCTACTTTACTAGTGAGTTATCTCAACAAGTTGCTTAAACTCCCTGAACCCTGGTTTTCTCATCTGTGAAATGGGGATAATGCTACCACTGGCTTATTTGGAGAATTAAATGAGGTGCTACATGTGCATACAGCTTTTGGTGCAACGCGAGGGCCTCGTGAGCATTTGGAAATGGGAGCTATTGTGAGCATAGATAATGACCTGCCTGCCTTCCCAGCTATGCTTCTTCAATCTTGAGTTCCTGAACATTCCAATCCATCGTTCTTGTTTAGGGTTTCACGTTCAAGCAATCATCTTCCCCAGGGAGTGACGCTGGGTGGTGCGTTTTCTGGGTATTTGCAGAGTTCGTTGCGCCAACCTGTTACCCTATTACAGGCGTAACGGCTTGGCTGGGCAAAGCTTTCTAGTGATGACGTTTTCGCTTCAAAGCTCTGACAGGTGTTGCTCCGTTGTCTTCTGGATTTAGTGTTGCGGAAGCAAACAGCATGGCCAAACTGAGTTTATTCCTCTGTGTAACTTGATATTCTTTTGTTTGCACAGTGAAGACTTTTTCGGTCATTTTTAAAGAGTGAAAATGTTATATATTCTAGCATATATGAAATCTGCCTGAAACTCTGTGTCTCATCACTTTTTGGGGCTCAGATACTTCTCTAGATAAGAAGCATGTTCATCATTATTTCTATCCTAATCCTAGGAATTTCTATCATGTGATCATACATAGGCTGGTTCTCCCCAGATTTTCATCAGCATCTGTTTCTCTCTGTCTCTCTTGGCCTTTTCTCTTTGAGTTATGAGTAAACTTTTTTTGGTTGGTTTTCTAGAGCTTGCTATGCAGTATGTCTTTTTTTTTTTGAGACACGGTCTTGCTCTATCACTCAGGCTGGAGCGCAGTGGTACAGTCATAGCTCACTGCAGCCTCTAACTCCTGGCCTCAAGCAATCCTCCCACCTTGGCCTCTCAGAGGGCTGGGATTACAGATGTGAGCCACTGCACCTGGCCCTTTAGTATGTCTTGAGGCGAAGTCTTACGTGGGATCCCAATGCACAAAGATGACCAAAGCGAATTTGCCCTGGTGGAGGGTCTGGTCGTGCCCGCCCCAGCTCATTGGAAGACCCCTCGGTCCTCTGCAGAGGACAGCTGGAGAGCCTCGAGGATCACTTGTAGGCTGTTGAATGCTAATTGTTAGAGAAGAGAGGTTGCTTATGTTGTTTTTGCCGTCGTAGTAGTAGCTGTCCTTTTGCCATTTAAGATCCTTCCTTTAACCAATTGAACGAAACTGAAGATCTGTTCAGTGGGTTTAGCACCAAGTAAGATGACTACACTGGCTTGAGATACAGCACGGTGATTTTCTGTTTCCCGTAAGAACAAAGTGGTCCAAGATCCAGATTTTACAGCGATGGACTCTGAGTATCCAACTTTCTTCTGATGGATCTTTTCCTGTACCACACCTGCCACCTGTGTCCCGCTCTGCGCAACTGGAATCATTTCCTGGCTCATCAGAAGGCCAGGGAGCATCAGAGGCCACTTTCTCAAATGTTTATTGACTCCAGTGAGAACTCGGAATAAAGCCAGAAACAAAGGCAGGAGGACGTGTGGAGTGACAGCAGCATGTGAGACCCTAAATCAGGGTGGATGCAAATCTTACTTCTTCCCTGACCAGAGAACCCTCTTCTGCGTCTTTGACGTTTCCAAGTTGTGTTCAGCCTTTGTCTCTTTCATGGTGAGTGCAGAGTCTCTTTTGAAATGAGGATGGAGTGGCTCACAGGAATCTCAACCAAGTAAAAGGCTTC